GCCCCGATGGGCAGCTGGGCGCCCCGGGGTCCCCACCAGCTCTGGGCCCCCTGGACAGGTGCAGCCGGTCAGGGGTGACGTGGGCCTGGCAGATGGGGGTGGTGCCAGCACCACGAAGGGAACAGTAACCGCTGTCAGTGCGCAGGCCTGTGCCCAGCTGGGGGTCAGTGGATGAGGGAGCTGGACCCCTCCCCTCCCCTCCGCCTGCCTGGCTCCTCATCGGACCATATTAGGCCACAGCTGCAATGGCACCTGGAGGCCACTCAGGCCGGGAATAGAAACACTTGGGAGTGGCCGCCAGCCCGTCTGGGACCCGGGGCCTGGGGCCGGGACAGCGGGAGGAGGGGGCCCAGAGGGCCAGGGGGGCACAGAGACGGGCCCAGAGATGGGGAGTGACATCCAGAAAGAGCGGGCAAGAGAGGGACACAGCAGGGGACACAGCGGGAGACAGGGGGGGGAGGCTGGGGGAGAGAAGGAGCCCGCAGGGAGCCGCCGCCCAGGGTGAGCTGTGGGGCCCCAGGTGGGGGTGTCTGGGACTCTAGCGTGTTTCCCTCCTGTGCGGTTTGACTTCTGGGAGAGAATCATGGACCGGCCGCCTCCTGCACGCCCCCTACTGGGGATCGAGTCCGCAACCCGGGCCTGTGCCCTTGACCGGGAATCGAACCCGGGACCCTTCGGTCCGCAGGCCGACGCTTCAACCACTGAGCCACACCGGCCGGGCTGACTGCTGACCTGACCAGCTGCCCTTTGACCTCGGGAGTCTTGGAGACCAGAACCCTTCAGGCCCAGCCCCCACCTCCCGGCCAGTGTTTCAGGGTGACAGCTGCTCCCTGCCTGCGTGGGGGGCAGCTCCTTGGATGGCTTACTATTGGGGTGACGCCCCCCCTGCCTCTCCTAGCCGTAACCTCCCTGTGTCTCGGGTCCCCAAGCCTGCCACGCCCCGTGGGGTCCCTGCTGCAGCCCAGGCCCCTCTCTGCCTGCCCCCACCCCCCTGGCCGGCTCACACACCCCTGCCTCCCGGGTCAGGCCCTTGACCCCTGGAGCCATCTCCCTAGTCCCTCCCCCCATCACCCAGCCCACTGAGCACACTGTGTCCCCAAACCACTGCTCTTCCCCCCTCCCCTGCC